GGCATGATTTGTATCACTACCGCATAGTTTTGAGAATTCAATAGGTTTTATTGCGCATTACGAAAGTCAAGTGCTTTTATTCCAGCGTACCGTACTTGATCTAAGTCTGTATCGCATCAACAGGCGATCTAGTCATTTCAGTTGAAGCAGGACATGTCTTATTAAGTAAATTTTCATACTGGCCATGCAAAGCTGATAAAAGTTTTGTTGAGAAGTTATGACCGTCTATTAAAGAGAGTCACTTTGAGAAATGTAATGGTTGAACTGTTGCAAAAAAATTGTCTACTAATTTCACAGAAGCCTCAAAAAAATCTTGTGAAGAGTTTCCAAACACTTACGCCTTTCGCAGTTGCCATGCGACTAGTACATCAAAAGCAAGTCCTAGACCATTTGCAACAGAAGTGATACGTTGTGGGACTCTGCCCTCTAGACTCCGAGCAACACCGTGACAAGCAGAAGCAAAGTTGATAAAACCTTTGTACTTGCCTTGCTCTCGCATCACCTCTTCAACAACTGTCTCGGCATTATATACCTCATCCTAAAAAATTTTTGGCAAAAAAACCTCTTTAAAAATGCAGTTTTCTACTTTTTTAGAACAAAAAAGCAAGGAAATCATTGTGTTTTTAGACTCAACTTATACAGAGAAGTGTAATGAAATTAAAAAAGTGAGGGCAAAAAGGCACCTGAAAGAGCGTTTCTGCTTTCTTGAGCCTCTCCTCTAATGATTCATAGAGAACATCTTTTAATGCAGCTTTTATTAGTTCTAAGCACTCTGTTTTCACTAATTCGTGTTTCTTTAGCATATCGTCAACACAAATCGATTCTACAGGTTCATCTCTTATATACTAAAATATAGTTTCAAAGAATGCTTAGTAAAAGTGAACTTCAACTGTAAACTTCAACTCACTGTACTGAAAAGAACGTCGTGTTACCGTAAATAACACGAGTAACTTTTTACTAGCACCAATTTGTATGTGTAAGATGGCTTAACTGTACGACATAAAACTAATTCCGTCGGTTATAGATCACTTTTACTGAAAATTTTTGACTATTTTTGAGCCAGATTATCAAATTGATAAATCAAAATATTGAATAACAGATTAGTTGTTGTTGCACTTTTTAAAAACCATTGCAAAATTAGGTATGTCTGTATTGGATCTCTAGCACAGAATACTTCAAACAGCTGTCGCCTGAGAGTATCAGATTAGTGGTAGAGAAATAAATCATACTCTTCAAACCTGAAAAAGACTTTTCGAATTTATTGTAAAATTTTTGTCTATCATTTTAGTTTTAAAAGCTTTTTTGGGTTTTGACATGTGAGTTATCAATAATTAGCAACTTACCGAGCAAAAAAGTAATTTATCATTTTATAGTCACAGTGCTTACTGCATAGAGTACAGTATTAAGAAATACAATAAATAAAATGTTATGCATTTTAATGTATAAAGATTTGTAGAGGAGAGGCTGAGTCAATGAAGAAAATGAGAAAGGGATGCATAGAAAAAACCTTGCACTGATTTATTAGAGTTTCTGACCACTGTCAACAGTATCACGCTTCACCCCAAAAATCACATTAATAGAAGATGCGCTTTAATTACGCGTCCACTACCGTTCTGCAAATTTTACGATAATCTTGCTCAAAAGTAAAAAAAAACTACGAAAAATCAACTTGTACGTACATAACTTTGATAAAAAATGTTCTAGCAGGCAACGGACGTAAAAAATTACGATTCTCATAGGCTAAATGCGCAAAAAAGTTGTTGCGTGTCAAATCGTATAGTTTTTACTTGACATAATAAATCTGTTTTTCGCCAATTTTCCCTTTCAGATTGGCTTTCTCAATTTACAAGGAACTTAAATCATTGCTATGTTGCAGGAACAATATGTTTTGCCCAGACATTACCAGCATACCGTGAATCGAAACTTGCCTTGTTCTCTAAAAAATCAGAAAATGTTTGAAAATTTTGTAGAGTAACCTTTTAACTTTTGATATTGTATAAATAATTCAGTTTTTTTGCAGGTCGCAAAATTAATGCAATTATTTTTGCTTGAAATAGAATAGGAAAATTGTCGATCTTACAGTTTTTTTCAAGAGATAAAGTTGGCACAATAATACCTTCACTGCAAAGCCTATTAAAATCGTTTGTGAAAATAATAATTGTTGACAAATGATATAGTAAAGAAAAAACATTTACTAAAAAAGATGTTTTTTTAAACTAATAATATAACTTGGTTTAAATAAATAGTTTTTCCTAATTCTTAACTGATCTTTTATAAGAAACTTTTCTTCTTCAAACTGTTGTCTAAGTGTAAGCCAAATATTTTGTTTAGGTAAAAATTTCGCATAAACCTTAAAAAATATTTTATTGAAGTTACGCATAATGTTGAAAGAAATTTTTGTTAGAGAAGTACATTTAACTCAACTTTTTTCGTCTTTCTTTACTCATATCTTAAAATTTGAAAAACTCTTTATTTGAACAAGGACATCTTTTGTAAAATGGCATTGAACGTTGCAAATTTTGAATTTGATTTTAGACTTTATTTTCAAACAAAAAAACTTTCAAAGCTTTACGTTGACTTGTTTCGTATGCTGAGAATTCCTGCCAACACCGGTAAAATTTATTATTCTAACCTTTTTATTAAGATTATCTTAAGATTATTCATCTGATACTTTAACAATTTTATGTTTAAAAGAACAAAGCATTCTCAGAAGTTTGCTCAAATAAATACTATAAAATAGAAAATAAAAAAGAGCAATAATATTCACCGCAATGCAACGTTTCCCAAAGTGTATAATTTTTTTACATTTTATCGGTTTTATAATTTTCTTAGGAACATTAAACGAAAACATTACAACAGTTAAATAGCCATTTAGACAGAAATTACACTAGTGGTATTAGCCTCTAGTTAGCCTCATCTGATGTTTATCAGACAGCGTGACAAATCAACAAAAATTGCTCACTGCAGTTACGTTTGCTATGTGCAGAATAATACTGACTGTTATCTAAGGGTAAAGTCTTAATCATAATATGTACTACTTATCACCAGAATCTTAACAGTTTCAAGCACAAATTTGGTTTAAGCGAAACAGTAAGTTCATCTTACCAGTAAAAAATAAATGCTAACTGCAAATGTTTTTTCCGCAAGTTTACAGAAAATCCTTTTGCTATTTAAGTATCCAAATTTACCAAAATGATAGCATAATAAACTAAGAGTGTATCCCGGTTAGTCAAATGAAGAAAAATCTGTATTTACACAAGTCGTAAGCGTAATAGTTGACTCTGTAGTAGACACGAAATATCGCACAGTTATCAGCAAGAGGTATATTAGAAGGAAGAAACAACAACGAATTAATGATAAAAGAAATAATAAACTGTAGAAAGTCGTCGTTGTTTACTTTTAAAAAGACGACATGTTTACACACGTTTTATGATTTTACTTCTGTAAAATTTTTTTTTCCCCTGCAAAACCATTTGAAAATCTTTCATTTTTGAGTCTTTCTTTCAGCTCCAAATTTTGAAAAAGGTAGCTTACAAGAGAGATGCGTTGCCTGTCAGGTTTCTAAAAGTAGAATTGCAGCAGGCACAGTAAAATTTAAAAATTTTCAAGTATTTTTGTTTATAATTATTAGTCTGTTATTAGTCTTTTTTTTATTAGTCTGTTCTAATCTAAAAATTTGGTGAATATAAAACGAAAAACTTTTTAAACGTACTGGTTTTTGTACAACTACAGAACAATTGAATGTTATCGAAGTTCAAAAAAAAAAAGAACATGAAAATATTTCAAAATATTCTAGAAAGTCAGTAAAAATATGTTTGTAAAGTGGGGAAAATGGTATTACAAAGTAAAATTCACTTGATATCAGAAAAAACACCAAAAATGACAATTAAAACCTAAATACTTGAAACTGTTTTAACAATGACCTCTATTCTGGTCTTCTTGAATTGCTGTTATACTTTTTTTCTTTCCTTCTTCGCTCTTTCTCCGGGTCAAGTCTACTGTTGAAATCTTCTATCTAAAAAAAATTTAAAAATTTCTACCGTTGTACTAGAATGTTCATAGAATACTATCAAATGTAGCAAGAAAATTATACTTTTTCTACACTAATAGACAAAATTTTCCTTTTATTTTTCGTAGCTAAAAACAAAAATATTTGTACAATAGCGTTAAAATCGTACGAAAAGTTGCGGTTTGTTTCACCAAACTATTCCGATAAGAAAAAAGTAAGAATTCTTTTCTTACACTCTTGTCTCTGCCCTGACTCTGATAATTCGCAAGCTCTAACTGAATTCTAGTCTCCTCTCGTTTTTCTCTCTCTGTTTGCAAACTTTGTTGTAACTCTTTCACCTAAATAATATTTTAAAAGTAAGTATTTTGCAAAGTTGTTTGCGGAAGAGGCGTTAAATAAAGGAAAGCGAGATTACTTGATGGTCTTCATAACTGCAGCCACAAATATTCACTGTTATTTTAAAATTTGAAGTTTAAAGCCGCATAAAATTAAAATAGTGTTCCGGATGTAATTTAGATTCTATAGGTCAGGATTGCAGTTCTGAGAGAAAGCAACGTTAACTTTTTTTTTTACTGAAATTTTTCATTCTCTACGTTGCTACTGCTGCTGTTAGCTGTTAAAAATACGAGTACAATAAATTACAAAATTACAGTTTTCATGATTAATAACAGCTCCGTTATTCATGAAAATGAAATGAACGATGGCTGAAGAAGCACGCAGCTTTTCCCAAAACTATCTTTTTAGCTTTGTCTACTGGTTTTCTGTTAACATTGTTTCAGCCCAAAAAGTTTGTTCTGTAATTATTTGAAAATTACACTGTTTTCTCCTGAGGCCTTAATTTTCGTTGTCATGCAGAACCTCAACTCCATCCTATATTGGTGCTCAGTAATAAGAAAGCCCCATTTTAGTCGCTGTCACTCAAGCATCTCTACATTATGGTTTTTAGTAATCAACTGATACTGCAGATAACAAAAGTAATAAATGGAGCGATCACATGATTGTGCATTGTAAAACTACCG